GACCACTATTGGGACCACCATTGGGGTCACTATCGGGCCACCATCGGGACCACCACAGGGGTCACTATCGGGCCACCATCGGAGTCACCACTGGGGCCACCACTGGGGTCACTATCGGGCCACCATTGGGGCCGCCATTTTGGCCACCACTGTGGACCCCGTTGTCCCCTCCACCCCGCAGCCATGCAGGTTTCTGGCTACCTGAACCTGGCAGCCGACGTGGCTCACAACGTGACGGACGGTTTGGCCATCGGGGCGTCCTTCGTGGCCGGCCCGGCCGTCGGGACGGTGACGGCGTTGACGGTGCTCCTCCACGAGGTCCCGCACGAGGTCGGCGACCTCGCCATCTTGGTGCAGTCGGGCTGTAGCAAGAAGCAGGTGAGAGCCCGGCCCCTGGGGTCAAAGGTCACGGGGCGGGGGGTAAAGGTGAAAGGTCGTGGGGTTGGGTTATGGGTTGTGTTTTGGGGTTGGGTTGGGGTCGAGGGTCACGTGGTTGGGTTGGGGTCAGGTTAAAGGTCAAGGTTCACGTGGTTGGGTTGGGGTCAGGTTAAAGGTGAAGGGTCACGTGGTTGGGTTGGGGTCGGGGTTAAAGGTCAAGGTTCACGTGGTTGGGTTGGGGTCAGGTTAAAGGTGAAGGGTCACGTGGTTGGGTTGGGGTCGGGGTTAAAGGTGAAGGGTCATGTGGTTGGGGTCAAGGGTCGTCTTTGGGTCAGGGTTAAAGGTGAAGGGTCACGTGGTTGCGTTGGGGTTAAAGGTGAAGGGTCATGTGGTTGGGGTCAAGGGTCATCTTTGGGTCAGGGTTAAAGGTGAAGGGTCACGTGGTTGGGTTGGGGTTGGGGTTAAAGGTGAAGCATCACGTGGTTGGGGTCAAGGTTCATCTTTGGGGTCAAGGTGAAGGGTCACGTGGTTGGGTTGGGGTCAAGGGTCATCTTGGGGTCAGGGTGAAGGGTGAAGGGTCGCATGGTTGGGGTCAAGGGTCGTTGTTGGGGTCGGGGTTAAAGGTGACGGGTCACATGATTGAGTTGGGGTCAAGGGTCATTGTTGGGGTCAGGGTTAAAGGTGAAGGGTCATGTGGTTGGGGTCAAGGGTCATCTTTGGGGTTGGGGTTAAAGTTAAAGGATCACGTGGTTGGGTTGGGGTCAAAGGTCATCTTTGGGGTCAGGGTTAAAGGTGAAGCGTCATGTGGTTGGGTTGGGGTCAAGGGTCATCTTTGGGGTCAGGGTGAAGGGTCGCGTGGTTGGGGTCAAGGGTCATCGTTGGGATCAGGGTTAAAGGTGAAGGGTCACGGGGTGGGGTTGGGGTCAAAGATCCGCCATATTGCCCCTCTATGCCCCCTATCCCCCCCATCCTGCCCCCTATACCCCCATATCACCCCCCTTATACCCCTCCCATCTCATTACCCCCCACCCATCTAATTACCCCCCCATCTTCTTACCCCCCCATCTAATTACCCCCCGCCCATCTAATTACCCCCCCATCTCATTACCCCCCCA